AAGAATAAACACAGTAACCACTGTGAAAGCAAAATTATGTTGAAGGAATATAATGTCTTGGCTGATTATTATAGTTTATATCAACTGCAGAACAGTAAGTTATTTGGTTGTTATTTTAAGAAAATTTTTTTCTCAACAAAACAGGTGATTATTTTTGTCTAGAAATTAAAGTAAGCTACACATGCAAGAATGACCAAGTCTGATGGCAATGACTATTACAGTCAGAGCATGAGTAGTCTTTGTATTTGAGTTAACAGACTGGGAGCTATTAAACAAGTGAATTCTTCCCTGTACTGAGTGTCATGTCACTTCAACTTAGCCAGCATGCAGCCACAGGAGAACTGCCCCAGCCAGCTCTGGCTACAAAGCTGTGTCCAAGCTAAGGAGACCTCCTCAAGCCAGGGATGCTGTTAAGTGTTCCTGCAGAGCTGGCACTCAGTAGTGGCTCACAAGCTCAGACACATGAAAGCTGATTGCATGCAGCCAGACACATCTCCTATACCTCCCTCTGCATCCCACAGAGCTCCCTCACACCCTGTCAGGTCTACCTGCACACTCACCACCCCAGCAGCACAGGGTTAGTCCTACTCACACAATCTCAATGATCTCTCTGCCATTATTTTCATTCCATTTTTCTATTTTCTTTTCTACGCTGCTCGTTCCTATCATTTTTCCCCAGCAGAATTTTCCCAGAGTATTAAAGCACAACACTGCTTTTTGCTGAAAAGTCATTGCTATTCTGTACTGAAAAAAATGCTGAAAATGCTTCAGTTGTCTGTTGTCTCTCCATCATTTCTCGACTAACCCCGAGCCTGGGAATCAACATATCTATCTTATCAGCAGGTCAGAACACCTAACTGCCATTTATCTCATGCTTTTAAAACTAATCAAATGTTACTGTTGAACTTATTAAGGTTTTCTACCAATAACAGCAAAACAAATCAAGTGAGAGTTCCTATTAGTAGTATTTTCATTCACCATTTCAAAAACTTTCACAAAACAAATATATTAGTGTTTTCTTTAAACAGAATCAATAAACAACTGAACTATAGTGCAAATAATGACTACAGCAATGCTCTTGCATAATACTGTTAATTGCATTAATCTAATGATTTCAAAGCCCATCCTCTTGGGGTTTTGCTGAATGGGGTTTATGGGTAGCTTTTGTCATTCTGTTCTTCTACTGCCCTTGTTGCAATACCTTCTCCTTCTCTTCATCCTTGATAGAAAAATTTCACTTCCTCTCCTTTCCCTTTATTTTTTTATTCCTACTTTTTCTGCATCTTCCTCTTAATGTAAAACCATCTCTTGTGAGGCTCCAACTCTATGATCAGTTTCCTTCAACCTTACTCCCAGACACCATCACACTGTGCACCTTCTCCATTTGCAAAAGAAAAAGTGTGACTTCACTTACCTTTCAGTTTGGAGTGTACACTGTTCTGCCCCTCCTACAGTGTACACATGACATGTTAAATGCTTTTCACTTTAATGGGGACAATGTGAGAATGATTCTGCTTTATCTTTCAAGAAAAGGGCTCAGTCCTGGGACAGATGAGTCTATTTACACATAGACACAATTAAACAGTTGTCTTGGCTGTTCAAGTGAAAATAAGAATTGGCATTTCCATTATAAACTGATCCTTTTAATAACTTAGAACTAGGTGGAGGTTCTGTTTTTTTCAGTGCAAATAATTGCTGAAAAGGTTCTGTGGAAAGCATTCTCTACTCTTTCCTCAAGATGTGTATGATGTGAGCAGCACCAAAAAAGCCCACTTTCATCTTGCTGCCAAATTTATAATACACAAGTATGTGTACAGATAAGCAACTTTACACAACACACATTGCTATGCTGAAAGAGAGCAAAAAATTCAAAATAGGAACCAGAAAGAAGGCTTCCCAAAAGTAACCCAATCTAGCTCCTTGCAGGTTCTGAAACATACTTAATTATCAAAGCAAATCCTGATGGATGTTAATGTTCTTTTAAATAGAATTGCTGACTATGTTTCAGAGAGCTCTTTTTCTCCACAAATCCAACTGTCCTTTCCAGAACTGGCTTGAGAAGAGAGGAAAAAAGAAGCTGTAGGATACTTCTCATATGTTATATTATTTTAGTTAATTTTTAGATTGATTTTCAAGTAGAAGGACACTACCACCCTGGAAGCCCACCTAAGAAGCCAGAGCTGACTCACATTTTTGGGATATCCAAGAAAATATAATATTTCTCTTTGATTTTCCCTATTAAAAACAAAGGCATGGACCCAGGTTTCTTTCTTGTTACATAACATGGGATCTCTGGAATGAATTGACTGAACAGAGCAGGCCAATGTCCACTCAAGAAAACTTCCTTGTGCAACTCCCAGTCCTGTCAGGAAAGGAACTTCTGTTAGCAGCTCTGTTGAAGTCAAAAGTTTTTCGACTTTTCAAGAAGCCCTAAGAATATCAGCTAGAAAACTGCCCTTTCCCTATGAACTGCTAAGGAAATTCAGGTCACACGATTGGATGGGATCAATTGTGGTTGCAAGCAGCTTCTCAATATACAGCTAGTTCAGGATGATCTACAGAACATGTTTCCCCACACAATTATCCTTTTAAACGCTGGAGAACGCTGTATCAAGCTGATGGCCTGTAGTACAGGATTAAAAAAGAATCTCATGAAATCAAGCATGGCCAATTTCCCACCTTCATACACAGGACAAGAATCAGTGGGCCATACAGCACAATACAGGAAAGGGCTTAAAAAGAATCAGACCCAATAATGCTTTCCAACTTTCGGTTCTCTAGGTCACCTTCCTTACACATTTCCAATACTGGCAGAATGCAGTTTGTTCAGCTGAGCAATGCATGATTTTCCAGCATCTCTCCCAGTTTTGGCAAGATGGTTGCTGTGCACAAATACAGAAACAGCCTCCACATTGCACAGCTTCACTGCTGCACTTGGTAACATGAAAAAGCTGACTGACTTCAGAAAGATCACAAAGGCACAGAGTTTCCCAGCTTACGTGGAATCTTCCTGAAAATCCAAGCAAGTGGAAGGTTTTCCTGAGAGCAACTCAAGCAACATCCTAGTCACAACATTTTTCCTATAGCTGAATTCTGATCTTTAAAATGCCTTCTCTATGAAGGACCTGAATTCCCTCCCAACACTAAAAACATGCTTAGTCTTTGAATGAGGGGTTGAACTTCTACTCAGAACAGCACTTCCCCTCTTCCCATGGAAATCTGGCAGATGGAGCAACAGATTGTCTTAAGAAATGGGGAAGAGAGAGAATAACAAACCTACATTATTCTGCAGTCTTCAAGAGGCACCACCGACTTCTAGATGGTATTAACTGGAACTTGCTTTGTTCAAAGAAATTCCAAAAGGGAATAATAATAAGGCATACTGCTGGACCCTTGTGCTCTGTCATGTTTCAAAGGAAAGGGGAGGAAGAGAGGAACTCTTCTCCCCTGTTAATCTAGTTAAGGCAAAGTCAGTGGAAACAGCAGAGACAACAGTAGACCTTGTACTGTGGGTCTTCTTTGGGTTGTAATTTTGGCAATTCTCAATCGAGTTCAGGCTGCCTGTTTGGAAGGGTGAGATGCATCTTGTAAAACCTTTCACTTGAAGGTCACTAAAAAGATGCAGTCCATTACAAAAGGATTCATGCAGTGTTGCTGCAGCAGCTGATTTACCTCTTCAAAAGCACCAGTGCCACCTTAATTGAAGGCTCTTGTTGAGGGCATTATCCAGATTCAAGAACAGTGGACAGAGAGAAATAGCTATACCCTGGGATCAGACACTTTTCCAAAACTGGGGCAGAGCAACTTGACCTAGAACCTAGAAAAACAACAGATTTACTACAAGCTGGAGGAGCTCCTCTTTGTTTCTAAGAGCTATGTAAATTAGAAAACCCATAGTGCAATAATAAAGTTACCATAATTACAAAGCTAATCAAGGTGTTTGGAGTTAGCAATAGCATTAGGACACACAATCGAACAGTGAAATGGAATGAAAGATAGAAAATGCAGATTATTAGAAAAATAACAGTAAATGTCAAGCTTCAGAACAAAACAGCCACAGCAAGAAGTGAGGCAAATTGCAATAGAAACCTTGGTGAGGAGCTTTAAAGTTAACAGCATTTAATTTTGCACTTCGTGTACCAGAATCTACTGTGTCCCACAGTATCCATACTTTTTGTTTCAATGTTAGAGAAGGAAAGGTGGTTGGAAATTTTAGACCACTTTCTGAATACTTCTAGCTGAACTCACAAACATGTTTGTATTTAAGATTCAGATCCCACTGAAGCGTGATAGTTTCTTACATTGTACTCACTTTGTTATGAGTCTGTAGAACTGAAAGAAATAACAGGTCAAGTAAAATATGCAATAATACCTAAAACAGATGCTGATGTAAATTCCAGTGAAGAGAAAATATTTGTTTCGATGTATGTGCTTCCTTAGAGCTTATTTTTCTTATACTGTGCGACTACTGTATTTGAAAACAGAGACTTAAGAATGAGTTTGTGTAAAAAACAGTAAGAAGTGACTCTGTGAAACTCTGTCAATGAACTGAATGTCCTGATTTTTAAACAAATTGTCCTGCTTCATAGGACACAAAAAATGACCAACTATATGGGGGAGAGAAGGGGAGACTACCAGACCTTTTATCTCACTCTCAATATGAATTTCACTGTGTTGATTCAGACTAAATTACATAAACTGTTGAGCCAATTCTGTACTGTATCAACAGGAAAAGAACAATCTTCAATCTTTGAAATATTATATATCAAAATATTAATTTGGCTCAGTGCTTCAAAACAGGGGGTGGGGAAAAATGTTGTTAGCTGCTTTTAAAGCTTTTGGTTTCGGCATTTGTATTTATTTTCCTACTGATACAATGTGATCAAGAAGCTATCGTGCCCAGGAGAAATGCATCCTATAGTCACAGGGCTGAAACAAACTTCTATTTTATAAGGTTAGAGATCTGGATTATTATGTCTATTCCAGGTTAACAGACTTACATGATTTTCTGTTGGAAATTTTCAGTGGCTGAATCTGCACTTCTGGTCTTCTTAGTGCAAATCTCCTATAAAATGGGAGGTGGTGGGGGAAAGACACAAACTCCTCAGTTTTCACTGCAAGTTTGGGATTAATAAACACTTAACATCATGAGACTATTGTAAAATATGCACAAGGTTTTATAAGAAATTAACTTAAAGCAATGCAATCTCTTCACAATCTAAAAAAAAAATTAAATCTTCAGCTTCAAAATGTTCTAACTTTCCAAAACCTGCTGCAGTTCTTATTCCTGCATAGTACATCAGTGTGAATACAGATACTGATGTGCTGTTTTCCATATGTTTTTTCTTTCAATCTGGATCAGTGTTATCCTATCAGTTTTTGTCATTATTAATTCAAGCCAGAGAAATAAGGAAATCCAAACTATTTCAGCAACTTGTTTCCAAGTTCAGTTGTCTTGCTGCAAATGCACATTTATCATACCCATGTAATCTCTGAGCATTGCACATGCCTACTATGATAATTTAACAACTCAGCAAATGAGTCTCTTACTACAAAAATTGATAATATTATGCTTCTCAGTAGCTCACCTCTCCTGGAAATGCTTTGATGGGATCAAGCCTGCTCTGGGATTGGCATCACCTTCGTGTTTGGCCTGCCACCAGGTTGCATCATCCTGGCTCATGATCTGAAGGATATCTCCTTTTCTGAAAGCAAGTCCAGCTTCTTTACATGGAATTGCTTTATCCTCGTTGGGATCATAGTCAAATAGGGCTCTGATAAACATCTGAAACGAACCGTGTTTTATCTTTACAATCAAAATATTAAATGCAATCCATAGGTATCTCCCCTTTCTGCCTCTCCTGTTCAAAACCATTGAACATTTATCCTTGTAAAACATCTTTATGAATGTCTAACATCAGAAGTTCATATGTGAATGTTCAATTCATTGCTTCTGCAACCACAATCTCAAGGGAGTAAAGGCTCTGATTCAAGGCAAGCAGGACTGTGCAGGTGCATAGTGTGCCCAGATGGGAACAGAACAGAAGATTCTTTTGAACCAAGATGCTACTGAGCATCTTCAACCTAGATGGATGGATGGAAGCATGTATGTATCCATCTATCTAGATGGATGGATGGAAGTATGATGGAAGCAAAGGAGTACTTGGAAGCAAACCAGGTACTCACAGGAGACAGAAGATTACCTGGATCAACCTCACAGCTGTAGAGTTAGGGCTTAAGAACCATGTGATACCCACTCATAAATTCAGCATGTGTGTTGAAGTGCACAGTGTGCTACACGTTGTCACATTTGTCACACATTTTGTCACACAAAAATCGAGTCCAGAGGCACAAATCACATTCTTGGTTCTGTCATCCAAGCAAACAGTACATATCCTCAGCATAACAGTACTGAACTAGCTTCTGAAATTGCCTTGCTTACCTTGCCTTCCTTCATGGGCATTTCTTCCTTCACACTGGGTATAATTTTAAATGTAATTGCTCCTTGAGACTGAGCCTGGTGAACATTTGAAAAGAAAATGCACTGAGAATTAAGCTGTACGTGTCAAAGAAATCTTACAAGGTAATCAAATTAATTCTAAAATACTCAAATATAATGAATCTATCCTCTCCCAAGCATGATCCATGGAGTTTGACAGCTTCACTAAACCTAACTTTGCATTATGAAGATTAAAATACCCACTTGAAATGCTCAGTTTTATTTGCTTCACTGGTGGGCAGAGATGAACTGTTAACAACTGGGACCCACATGGTTCAGAGGTCCCAATTCTGCACTGAAGGCAGGAGAAAATACTGCAGCTAAAATGTATGCATATTAGAAGCAACTGCTGGGCTCCTGGCACAGTTTGGACATCCCTGGAAAAATCGAACTAACATTTCATTTTTCAAAAAAAAAAAAAAAGATAGAAAAATTCAAACAGGCTTGTGCCATATTTATCATACAGAGCTATTGGGGGGGATTTATTCTCTTGGCACTTCAAGAAAGTAGAAAAGAAAAACATATTTGAATAGACTACGTGTACTAAATGGAAAAAAAGCCCTCCACTATAAATCTTTAAACAAGTTAGCCATCATCAACCACCTCAGATTATTTTTTTACCCTGTTCCCTATATCCCACTTAAAGTGTGTCTGGCTGCGTTTGACTTATTAACCACAATATATTCCCACTGCCTCAGTGACATTTTGCTATTGAAGGAAGTGCTAATCAGTTGGAGCCTCTGCTACTATTGCATGCAGCCGACAAGTTTCATAAAACTAGCAGAGTGCAACAGACAGCCAACAATTTCAGCAAAATGGAAACAGGCCTGTCCACTACGGAGCGAGACAGCCTCGTGCTGCAGTCTGTGCTCCAGGAGCAAACTGTTTGACAGGCAGCAGCCAACTTCTTCCTCCACCCACCACAGGACTGGAATCAATAACTCTGTTCCTTTCGAAACAACCTCTAACTAGCTTTCGATGTTTATACTGTACCTCAAGGAGGCAAATGGGGAAATGGTTCACACCTTGCCTAGTGCTATTGCATTTCTGGAGATTTTGAAATATTAATTTTTGCAGGAAAATATGATTCTGTAGGGAGTACAAAACTAGAAAGCAAGTATGAATATCAACAGGCTAAGGCTTGCAATGAATCATTTCAGTTACTGAAG